AATACAAAATATATTGTTTAACATGTATGGTATTTATAAGGAAAGAGTTCTCAATACTGGAAATGGAGCATTTGTTGAAATAGTACTGAAACAGAAATCAAGATTGCATTTATTTTATATATATAGTGGTATTTATTACACTATGAGACCAAGGTATTAACTACAATAATATAAATACTAAAGGGATTATTTCAGAAAGCAGAACTGATTTTTGGAAAACACATTAAATAAAAATATTGGTAAAAGAAGCTTAACAAGCGGATACGAATTCCTCTTAATTGTTTACAACATATCTCGAAAGTATCTCCCAAAATCTGAACCGAGAAGGGATGGAAATGATTGTTGATTGTCCGATTTGTTTTTACGGTTTATCAACCCTTTTTCAGTTATTTAAAGGCAAAACATTTTAGATTGTAAGAATAATTATTTTTCTTACATTTTTTTAGATAATGATTTTTCAGATACAAGTATTACTATTTAATCTATAGCTGTGGGGAGAAGAAATAGATTCATACTTTTCCCCAATTGTATTTGCGTGTAAATGAACATAACGAAAACTGCTCTCCGATTTCTTATTCCATAGCCACTATCCATTAATTCAGGGGTCGACAACTTATGGCCCGCAGCCTCAAATGACATCACGAAGTCCGAACCACTAACTACTAAGAAGATACCTGGCTGTTTCATTTTTAATATATACTAAAGTATATATACTATATATTACTATATAGTAATATAGTGGAAGGTCAGAGAGACGATAACAAGTGCTAAAGACAATCTAGCTTTCAATGAAGACATCGGATACACTCAAGCAGGGAGACAAGGGTTAGGACTAAATGAAAGGCAATGGTGGTCGAAATCTTCTGGTAAAGATCGCCGTGACATGGTCATCCAAAATGTGATGAAAGAAAAGACTCGTAAAATGAGTACAACAATCCCAACAAGGCCAATGGACAAACTGGGAGGAGGCTCTTCAGAAATCTATTACGTGGAAGGACATTTGGCAGATGGGTCCACTTAGGTTGAGTTATTTAATACGTTCCACGTATGACCTGCTACCATCTAAGAACAATCTTGTTAAATGGAAGAAAGAGAGTGATCCCACTTGTCCCCTGTGTGAGGAAAAGCCACAAACATTAGAACATGTTCTTAGTTCCTGTAAAACAGCCCTTGTCAATGGCAGATATACATGGAGGCACAATAGTGTTTTGGATGAGCTGGTCAGAATCATAAAGAAATACATGAAGTCCGAGTCATCTAATTCAGCCCAGGAATTTGTTGCAGAAGGAAAAAGATATGTCGGCTCTAAGCAAACAAGCAAATGTCATGCTATACCCGGAAAAAATCTCCTTAGTTCTAGTGGCATCTGGGAGCTATCTGCAGACCTTCCTGGTTGGCGTAATGATTACCCCAAAATAATATCAAGTAAAGGTCTGCGAACAGATATTGTTCTTCTGTCAAGAGTGAACCATGAAATCATTCTGGTTGAGTTAACAGTACCATATGAATGCCGGATGGAACAAAGCCACGATTATAAAACTAATAAATATGAAAATCTAAAGTCAGAGCTAATAAAGGAGGGGTATAATGCAATTGTTAGACCAGTGGAAATTGGAGCAAGGGGTTTCGTTTCAGGCACTCTGTACCAATTTCTGGGCCAAATTGGAATCAAAGGGCGTAATAGGGCCAAGAGTATAAAACGCCTAATAGAAGTAACAGAAAATAGTTCTATGTGGATATGGAAAAAACGAAATACTCCGTGGAGTGTTTCAGCGAACATGACGGCATGACATGTCTGATCGTGAACGCGTAATGAGGTTCACGTTGCATTCTCAGAACGCGAGGTCTGCCGTTTTTCGGAATTTTCGTAAATTTAATTTTGCCGTTACACATTTGAACTAGTTTATCTACAACACTTGTATATCGTTATAAGGGGGCCTCACATCAGTGAGGGGGGCCGGTGTGCAACTGAAACCGTTGAGAGGAAGGCACCGAAACGGTGCACATTCTCTCCTGATGACCCCAGTTTAAAATTCGAGAGGAACACATCAAAATTCAGTGAAGTCATATGCCGTAGAGAAGCTCGGTGGAAGTGTCATTGGCATGAAGAGCATTATACATTCAGCTCGCTTCAGGTGAGTTTCAATTACTTTCTAGTAATTTCCTTCTATATAAAATATATTAGAAAACAGGTATATTGACCTTGACTTCAGAGTCTGTCTATATTTCTGAGATGAAGTATTAAATAATGACTTGTATAAAAATACGTATGCTGTTGACACACAGAATGTGCTGACTTAGGGTTTTAAAATCATAGTTAGGAAAACGTAACCGACCCCTGCATTAAACCCCCTCGCACATCCGAAAGAGACTGGGTGGGAAGGGGGAAGATTTAAAGCATCAGAATGTTTCTGACGACATTTTATTAATATCGGAAGCAGATGAATTAGAAGAAATATTTCTGTGTCGCGTTCCTTCAGAACAGGGGCGATCATGGCTCTCCAAAACATCCTCTACCTTGTGACCCATACAATTTTTTTCTCCCTTTGCTAATTCTCACGCCTCAGCTTTCGTTATCCATTCACACAAACATGTCAGGTTGCCATTTTCTTTAAATATTCCGCGTTGCTTCCTCGCTTCATGGAATTCTCATTATGCTCCTGTAGAGTCATTTCTGTTGCCTCTAGTTTTCTCTTCATCTATGGGAATATTGCATTCATTGTCATATAAGAGGATGAATATCTTATAAATCCAACACTTTTTTTTGTTTCTTACAAAATGTTTCTGTTTCTCAACACTTAAGTTTTTTAAATACATTTTTCGATAGTCCAATGCGTGTTCAGATTTCGATGTCACGTTTTCCATCCTCTTAATTGATTTATTCAAAAGATGATGTCCTTAAAGAAAAACATCGAAAATTGAGATAAAACGACGTACAATAAACGGGTCAAGGATATCGACTACAGACACAGATAAAAGTAAAAGATGATAACGGAATTTATGTAAGAGAATTGATATTTCGTCTAATATATCTACAGCAGTTTACGAAAATATCTTCAGATCGACCTTTTCCATTTTATTCCCAGTTGTTTCATTCCTGGTTGTATTCAGTTTTGTTGTAGGTATTATTACTATTTCCTTTGATTTCTGGTGTATGTATACACATTTCTTTCCGGGTCTAGGCCAAAAACCTAAGTTCAGAAATGGCATCATGACATTTTCCACTGGCAAAATAAATAAAAAATAAGATAAAGTAATATATATTACATACATAAAGCACTTCGTAAGACGAGGGTTGTACTCGTGAAAAAAATCTTGTTTTTCCTGAAGGTATATATCCTAGAATCCCTTCAATGAGTCTACTGGAGTGCTTTCCAACCAATCCGGGGGCTCCAACTACAACAGGGATTGTTGATGTTCCCATGTGCCACATTATTATTATTATTATTATCATGGTTACCACAACTATTGTCATAATTACCATTATCATTGACACATTTTTTTCTCATTTTCGTTTCAATCATCATTAAGGCTAAATTTACCGTTAACGCATCAATAACTATTATTAACTAGCAGCATGGCCCGGCGTTGCCCATGCTTGATTCAAAAATCGTACGACACATACAGCAATCGCTATCACTTAAACTATTTTTGCCCTTCCTTGCCTTTAAAGGAGTGCCCTTTGCCGTGCTGATGTTGCTACATGCCTTGCTTCTTGTCTATCTCACAGTGCGAATTTTTTCCTAAGCTCTATACTAAACATTAAATCTGTTACGAAAAACGAACTAAGCAAAATGAACACAAAACGATCAGCTTTAAAAAAGGACTCGTAACTGGAAAAACCGAATGAAAAAAGAATGTTAACAACAAATACTTTTTCACACCCAACCCAGTTCAGAGGAATCAGAATCAACGTTGAGTTTAAGCAAGCGAATGAGCCAATTGGAGTAAAGTGCCATGCAGATTTAAATTTTTCCTCACTTGTGACAAATGCATCTAACGATTTTTTTTTTGCATTCTAGCATACTAGTTAACATTCGTGTCAGTCAGCTGTTGGCTCTTACGCTGGCCAATAGAATCTTCCTGTCTATTCGTGACAGCCAGCTATAGGCTCTCACTCTGGTCAGTAGAAAATGGCCGCAAACTATATGAAAACTGCCGTAGAAGCATGAAAAAATCGATTATTTCCACTATCGATGGGAGTTGGGAAATGCAATGTCGGTGTTGGCCTTCCCACTAACTTGAAGCATGTGCATGTAAATTTTGGTGCAAATCCGAAAATTGCGGCCGTGCATTCGTCACACACACAGACTTTTATAGACAGAGATATTTTAATAATATCAGTTATTACAATCAGAATAGTCACAATCGTCAATAATGCACAAGCAGTTAGCGTTGAAAATACAAACATCATCATCATGTCCACAAACAGAACCCAACTTAATTAAAGTGATAGTGGAAAACTTAGATCATTGAGCGTCTACATGTGTGTGTAAGTTTTTTTTTTCTGACGACGCATGTGGCCGATTTGAAAAGTATCAAGAACACCCCCACCTGTTCCTTGTTGAAAGAACACCGCAACCTATATATACTGTTTGCATGGGTTCGTTTGTGTGAACTAAAATGCGTACACCTGTATGTATGTGTGTGTGTATTATCTCAAACAAACACACAAGAAAATTATAAATATATATAAAATTATTTATTCGAAAATTATGACATAAAAATGTTATATAATTACTAAAAAAATAGCCACTTCTGGTGTCTTATCAAGTGATGGCGTTGAATTCAACATCCCTTGATAAAACACCAGAAGTGTTGAAACAAAATGGCTATTTTTGTAGTGATTTTATAACATTTTGTCATAATTTTATAATAAATATATTTGCTCTACTTTCTATTGAGCACACTTTAAAGCATAATATTTTTTGTTATTTGAATTTATTCGGTATACAGCAATCTTATTTGTGTGTGTGATATATATATAGAGAGAGGGGTACATGAGAGAGAGAGAGGGGGGGGAGAGAGAGAGAGAGAGGGGTACATGGAGAGAGAGAGAGAGGGGGTACATGGAGAGAGAGAGAGAGGGGGGCATGGAGAGAGAGAGAGGGGGTACATGGAGAGAGAGAGAGGGGGCACATGGAGAGAGAGAGAGAGAGGGGTACATGGAGAGAGAGAGAGGGGGTACAAGAGAGAGAGGGGGGGGTACATGAGAGAGGGGGGCATGAGAGAGAGGGGGGGCATGAGAGAGAGGGGGTACATGAGAGAGAGGGGGTACATGAGAGAGAGGGGGTACATGAGAGAGAGGGGGTACATGAGAGAGAGGGGGTACATGAGAGAGAGGGGGGCACATGAGAGAGAGGGGGCACATGAGAGAGGGGGCACATGAGAGAGAGGGGGCACAGGAGAGAGAGAGAGGGGGCACATGGAGAGAGGGGGGGCACATGGAGAGAGAGAGAGAGAGAGAGGGACATGGAGAGAGAGGGGTACATGGAGAGGGAGAGAGGATAGAGAGAGAGAGGATATAGAGACAGAGAGAGGATATAGAGACAGAGAGAGAGAGAGAGGATATAGAGACAGAGAGAGAGAGAGAGAGGATATAGAGACAGAGAGAGAGAGAGAGAGAGATAGAGAGAGAGAGAGAGAGAGGATATAGAGAGAGAGAGAGAGAGGATATAGAGAGAGAGAGAGAGAGAGAGAGAGAGAGAGGATATAGAGAGAGAGAGAGAGAGAGAGAGAGGATATAGAGAGAGAGAGAGAGAGAGAGAGAGAGAGAGAGATTTTTTTTATATGGAGGTTATTCCCGATCAAGTATTCACTAATATTCTCATGTCGTCGTCGTGGCATCTATTACAACCAAGCGGAGTCAGAATTTTCTTCTACAGAGGTTTTTCTTTTTCTCAACTGGTCGCCAAGTTAATTACCCATAGCTTAGTGGAAGAGATGGACTCAAATATTTCCTAAGGGTTAATGTAATGAACTCGAATGGAATTCGAACTCGGCTCTCCAATTTCGCAAACCGAATCGCTGTCCATTATTTCACTATATTTTCAACTATTAATTTTGCCATGTAATTTTTCATTTGGATCTTTTTTCTTGAAAATTCCTAGTCAATAATACTGAATCCCGCCTATTGGTCACAACCCAACAGTTAAATAATTCATCTTAGCCTTAAATAACCTGTAAATCAGTATAAATTTGTTAATAAAGGACAAATTAAATGAAAATCAAGTGAAATTTATTTCTTACTAGCTTAAAAGCCGCCCTTTTGGGTGGCATTTAAGATAGCTCATGTGGAAGAGTCTTGGTTTGGCGATCATCACAATAGCTATAGAGGAGTAGATGCGATAGGAATGAATAAACTACAGAACTCAAGATTGATCGCTGCATTTAAATATTGAATTAATGTTTAAGCTTACCTTTTAAAAGTTCAACGATAATTCTTTTGCTGCCACTTAATTTAAAGACGATTTGATGTCCGTAGATCCTTATTTTCCGTACAAACACTTATTTTTATTTCACGGGTGACAGAACAGGGAACAATTTATAAAATAAAATCAATAAAAGGATGGGAAAAGAGAAATTAGAATTAGCTATACATTCAACATTTGAAAAGTAAGAGAAACGTAATAGCTAATTAAGTAAAACCTATATTTTGGAATATAATATATTAATTAATATATATTATTAAACCTGCATAATCTGGCAGCCCTGAATCTGTTCCGTGCGCCCAACTTTTCTAGTGCTTTTGAATAAATTATGAATCATTGAAATCGGAGCGGTGGAGTTGCTTGAACACACGTACAAACATACACTACTTTATATATAAAATGGACAACGTATGCTATTTGAGTTTGCCTATATAAAGCACTTGTATTTATTCGAATTAAACGTCAACGGGTGATAATACGAATGCACAAAATAGAAATAAAAATGCCTTTTCGGCGTTTAAAATGTAGCTGTCAAACAATAGTGAGAGATCCATGGTTGAGTGACACGAGCAAAAGTAGATTTTAAAATTAATTCGGAACTTGAGTTTTGAAATGGTCCACATTTTTAGAAGAGCAAAATAAAAAAAGAAAATCGTGCGCTGTGAATTTATGTTCACGTATATTTTTAAAATACATTCATAAAATGCAACGGTAGAGGTAATCAGTGACGTTACCCTGGCTTCATTTCGGATTTTGGGTATTGCAATATCAGATCCGTTCTGCCAGGTACTCCGACCTGTTAAAAGGCCGCCTCTCCGCATAATTCGCTCCACGATGCGATTTTAACAACAGAAAATATGTTAATAATCATATATAGATAAATCAACTACCGACAACGTAGAAAAAATCAGCAGCAGTTTGATCTGAGTGTAAAGACGATTAATAAAACAAGAAGCAATAATAACATTTTAATATGCATATTACTATTCTCTTGTCTAGCCTTGTACATTATTAAGGTGCCTATAAGTCTATCAAAACCCTTTTTATGACATGCAACGAACAAACGTGATTTGATTATCTACATTATTCAAACTTATTTTCATTGCCATATTCACAACGTTTCGGCCGTAGTACGCTCCAGTCTTCTTCAGGTGATTGAAATTTCGAATCGAACACTATATTTTGGTTAGATCAAGTAAGTACACCAAAAAATTGAGTTCAATAACAGGTGAATCTAAACTTGGAGAGTTGAGTTAAAGGGAAATAACTGAAAAGAAGCATGGCACGGAGAACTAGAACCTATCTACGCCGGTAGGCGAAGTAAAGGGTTCGGTTTGAAATTCCAATCACCTGCAGAAGGCCGGAGTGTGAAATAGCCGAATCGTTGTGAATATGGCAATGAAGATGAGGGTAACAGTCCGAATAATGTAAATAATCATAATACCTCGTCTCAGAGATATAGACAGATAGTGAGTTGATTATGTCGTAAAATATTTTTGTCGTAAAATATTTTTGTCTTAATTTTCAAGAGAAAAATCCAGATGAAATATCGTAAAAATTATTAAGAACTTAAAATCATTCATATAAAAGTTTACTCACTCCTCGTAATATCTCTCATTGGAGCAAGAAACTCTGGTTAGGACTTGTGCCATCCTTTCGTAAGATTTAAGTAGCTAAGTTTGTTTTTAGGCATTTTTTTCTCTTTCTTTTTTTTTTCAGTTTTGTTGTCTTTATTCAAAACTGTATCAAGATAAGAGTCTTAGTTTTTTCGTTGGGTCAATCAGCGGTTTGCTGTGGTTTGATTTGGTTTATTTTGTTTTACGGCATATCAAACTCAATGGGCTATTTAATGCAAACAACATTTTTATTGCTGGTAATTTTTTTTCAAAATGCATTCCTAGTAATGTTTTTTTTTTAATTCCCTCACCACTTCAAGTCATGGGTTAATTTAATTCCCTCACCACTTCAAGTCATGGGTTAATTTAATTCCCTCACCACTTCAAGTCATGGGTTAATCGTTATCTATTCTTATCCTCAGAATTTACAACTTTCTACAAGTTTCATTCATACAGCACCTGTCGTTTTTTTTTTAACCATTGAGCACAGTACAATAACTTGTTTAGCTGGGTTAATCTTAATATCAAGGAGACAAATCTATTGTGAAAAAAATATTAAAAATAATGACTGTCTGATTAAACTTTTTCTATCAGCTTAGCAGACATGAGTCTACAGACGGACATGCAGAGAAAATCTCTGCGGGTGATTGCGGAAGGAAATAAAGTTTTTAATAAAAAAAAAAAAAAAAAAAGATATTCATTTAACCGTAGACGAATTGCTCTTTTTAAAGCTACATAAAGTAAGATTGAAATCTAATTCTAGATACAAGTGGCTATTGCCGAGAAACAAAAGCACAGAACAAAGGGAGATAATATATTTTTTTATATTGCAAATTCTTAAATTGCTTTTAATTGTTGATGTTTATCTATATTAATTTATTTTCTATTTTATGCAATATTTAACATTAACTTTTCCAAATCTGAATATTATTTTAGGGTTCTAATAACGTTCTAAATAAAAAAAGGACGTTCTAAATAAAGCTGTATATTTCGAATAAATAATTCTATTAAAATAAATAGAAATAAAAACTTCAAGTGCTTCAATCGATTTTGTCAGGAGAATTGCTGGGCAAATATTTTATAAATTCGATTCTTAGCAAATAGAAATAACCATTGATATCTGGTTGAGTGTTACCGCTAAATAAAACAATGGACAAGTCAGGAAGTTCATAAAAAAATAATTTCATAAAACCAAAGTAGTTATTTACACTATATTCGGATGGGTATTTTCTGGTTTGCATTACCTGATAAGCAGATTAGAAATCCGAAGAATAAATTGGTAGAAAATACAAAAATAAAATAAGGTCTTTGCAATTTTAGACGATGCGTAACGCAGAAGAAAACTCCATAAAAACAATTTAACAGTAATATATATATATATATATATATATATATATATATATATATATATATAATTATTCGTATATCAGTTGAATATAGGAGATAAGATAATTAGAGCGGCAATGATTACAATTTTAAACACGTTACGCTGATAATTTTGCTTTGCACACAATTGCTAGACTCTCCCGAGATCAATTTAATGTTTTAGAAAAAATTAAAAATAAGTTAGTGATATTAACCCTCCCCTATATATTAGAGTGGAATGAAGAGGGTAAATTTATAGACTCTTTATATAGTTGACCTAATTTGCATTAAACAAACCATTTGTAATTTATTTATGAAAAACCTTTTTTTAAAATGCTCTATTTTAGCCTTCTTCTCTTCACGGTGTCCCTTCAGGATATGGACGATCAGAGCCCTTACCAATTTTATGTCTTGTTTAGTTCTTACTAATTATACTTTAAATCAGCTAATATTCATCAAATAAAATTTCGGAAAAGTATATTTTATTTTGTGGAGATTTTTTTTTTTTTTTAATAAAAGAGAATTACATTGCGATGAAAGACGACTAAAAAAGAGCGCTTATCGGCTATTTTACAAAAAAGGAAAAAAATCTTCCATCAATTTAAATTAGTTTTTAATATACAGCAAAGTATTTTGCTTATTGGAGATATTAAATTTAATCTATTATCTTGAAAGTAAATCTAAAAAAGCTCCAAGAAATATTTTTCATAGATTTAAAATTCATTTTATAACTTAAGTATTGCGTTTTTACTGGAGGTCCCTAAAGAAAATTAATTTATTAAGGATCATTTATCATTTATGAAAAAAATTTAAAAAATTTTCTATTTTAGTCCTCTTCCGTGCATCATGTCCTTTCAGGATATGAACGATCATAGCTCTTCCCAATTTCCACGCGGTTTAGTGAGCAAATAACTTCTTCCGCGGTCATTCTATCTGGGGTGGAATGCAAAAAAGATACTTGGAAGTAGAGGTAAAGAAAAAGTAATGAGGAAAGTAATGAGGAAACTACTGGGACTCCTGCAGGCAGGAAAGAAATAAAAAACAAAGGTCTAAACATCAATTGTAAGAAGACAGAAGGTATGTCGTCAAACGGTACAGCCCAAGGTGCTAACTACGGGCTGGAGACGTCAAGATCAAGCAAATACAAACATTTAAATACCTACAAAGTCTTTTAAAAGAGGACGAAAAATGCGACACCGAAATCTGAAAGTGCGAAAGGTGCCTTCCAAAACTAAGCAAAGAATTAACAAAGAGTACATTTTCATTAGAAACAAAGAAAAGAGTACATATGTAACATCGGTTTTCCTATATAGTAGTGAATGCTGAACAATCGCAAAGATAAATAACACACTTAGGGCAACAGAAAACTTGTTTTACAGAAGCATGCTGAGAATTCCATGGACTGAACATGTGAGTAACGAGGAAGTTTTAAGAA